TAATAGTTTAGTGTAACCTCTCTTATCCATAGAGCAATTCTGTAATCATTTCCCAAGTGCTTTATATTACTTTTGTCAGGATTGTAACCTTGTATTTAATGAGTTTCATCAATCATTTTGCCAGTCACTTCTCTGGTTTTGAAAGATGCTTCAGGAGTATTCTCCCTTTTCTACGTCTGCCTCATCTGACAAATAATTTGTTATCTTGTTTGTAATTTTAAATGTTTTTTTCTTATTTTAATCCTGGATATGACAACTGTGATTTTTCCCCTGCCTTCTCTACTCTATTCTTTAAGATTTGAGAAGAAGGCTGTTCTCGGAGTATCTTTGTGTATACAAGAGAAAAATGTATTTGGTCCTTATTCCACATGACAATGTGCTTTCACACAACTGTGCTTCAAAAAATGGTTTCTACAATAGTATTCAGCAGATTTTATGGCATACCAGTCTGAGAGAAAGTATTTGCTTGCTGGAGACAAATTCTATAGGATTTAGGATATTATATCTTTTTATGCCACTTGTATGCTGGCATGAGAAAATATATTTAGATCTTTTCCTAAAGAAATTGAAAATCTCAGATGTGGAGAAACTTTTTTATGGAAGCAACTAAAAGATATGTGACCTGAAGGGTTGCTTCATTTGCAGAAAGGGCTGCTGAATGCTGGAAAAAAAGTATGTGAATTTCATTTCTGTAAATTGCCATAGAGATTTAAAAACATGAGAAATGTATTCTGAAATAAGCTGTAAAGGTTATTTGCCTCTCCTCCTGCTAGCAATGTTATGTTTTTCAAAAGTGTGTGTGTGTGTGTGTATAGCTAATTTTAATCACTGATATTCTGCATCAGCTACATAGTTACATATTTGTAACATCTATTGGCCTGACCCCGCAAACCCATCTTCAAAGGCAGCAGCTGCAGTGGATGAAGGAGGTCTGTTTACCTGTTAATTGGCGTGCAGTCCCAAAGTTTCCAGTCCCCTCTCACCAGAGAACAAGATTACTACAAGGAATTGCAACAGGGGTCCTGCTACTGCTTTTTAGTGGGAGAGGACTGGAAACAATGTCCTCCATGTTCCCTGATTGGCAGCTGAGCAGACTGCCTTTGTCTGATGTGGCTGTTAAGGTGGGCTTGGAGGAAGAATGCAGGCTTCCTGAATATGGAGTAGCTACAAATCTGTAACTCAATTCAGATTTCCAGTCAATACTTTCAACCAATTTCAATCATTTTGTTAATTTTAGCTGTATGATCTGATAACTAATTAATAAATATTATCTATAGATTAGATGCTAAAAAATAAAAGAGGGGCAATTTAGTTGTTGTAGCATGTTCTGGGAAGTGAATTGTTTTTAACATAATGAATATCCCTCTGCAGAAAAAAAACCGAGGAAAGGGAACCCATAGCGATACACTATGCCCCCACCTCCCAGTATGGATTTGATATCCATGATTTCACTTACCAC